AACCAATTTCAACTAATATGAACTCAAATTCAACAGGTCATGTTAGTATCATATTTTATGTTTGATTGTATCTATAATCTATATAGTACTTAACGGTACTTAACGTTTAATACATGACCTATTATAAATTATAATTCATCTTATACACCTACCTATCTATATATATTATATTATATAATATATCTATAATGCTTTTTAGTTTAAACTTATTATATGAGTTTTTCAAGCTTTGCTATTAGTAAATTCTAATTCTATAATAAAATAGTCATTCAAAACATTAAATATTATATCATAGTTGAAACTTGATGTAGGTTTGTACTATTCATACAAATAACCTACCTATACTTAATATTATTTGTATTATTTTGTATTTTTGTGTAAACTACCTATATGCGACTAGGTAATAGGTATATAACGTCATACAACAACTTGATACAAAAATAATGTAATGTTTAGGTAAATAAACGCATTAGAAAATAATAAAAATAATAGAAAATATAATCTATTTCGATACAATTTATTTTCTGTTTATACATGATAAATTCTCGGAAACCATCGAGATAGCGCCACAAGTATATTTCTATTTTACCGCTCAGTTTTCAGCGTGCATCAAGACAGAAAATTATAATATTATTACAACATTCTAAGGTTAGTCGTTTAATATTATAATATAATATTATGACCGTTTGATTGAGATTTTTTAAATAATGGTAAGGGCGGGAACTTCAAAATCAGTTGAGTCCAAGTTTTTTAGTTTATTGAGGACAAACAAAATAAGTTGTTTAAAATATATTTGTATGGAAGTGTAAATTTGTTGCTGCTCACTTTTGTGCGTGATTACATATAGACGATATTTTGCCAAATCGGATATACCTACCATCGCGAGTGGCTTGGAAATATGTACTTAACGAATCTATAATATGATTAACAGTATTTTGCAGAACCCCGGAGCCCCCTCCTATCATCGAGGATCCTATCGATTGGACGATTACAATTTACCGAGCAGCAAGCTTTTCACCATGAACTAATGAGAATAATAATATAATGTATACCTATGACAATGTTCTATACATTTAAATAATTACATTCCAATGTAAATTTTTATAAGATAGTATTAAATAATAAGACATACGCACAATAGACAATTATTTTAATTATTAATAAATATAATATTTTATTTTTATTTATTTATTTGTATTGTATAATATAAATATCATTTATGAATTTCATAAGTTTGTATGATGTCGTGGTTTTACAAAAACATTAGGTTCATTAATAACCCCATGATTAAAAATAAATAAAATCCAAGATGATGTGCAGGGAGATAGGTACCTCATTTTTACGATTAACTAGAAATAACTATTAAATATACGATAGTGGATGATTGTTTATTAGTCGTATACTCTTATGCTTTCTTTGGCCAAATAAATGTATAATTATTATAATTAAAAGGTATGGAACTATATAATGTCTATATATATACAAGGCTGGGTTAAAAAGGCTGGGTTTAACGAGTTAAAAATTAAAATTAAGTTAAAACGTTAAGTTAATTAACTCGTTACTTTTTTTTTCAAGTGAACTTTTAATTTAATAAGTTACTTTTTTTCAAGATTAGCGTGTTAACTTCAAGTTAATTTTATTTCAAAAATATCTAAATTAAGTTAATTTTTGTCCGAAGAATAATGCAAATTTTTGGATGTGTTTTTACTTTGATGTATCATTTTAAATTTCCCCAGTAATTTTCTTGGACGTAAAGAAAAACTATCTAATAAACTATATTATGTGTCTGGATTTTTTATTTTTACAAATTAGAAAAATTATAACTCTGCACCAAGTTAAGTTACTTTTTTTTCAAAGTTAACTTTAATTTAACGAGTTAACGAAAAAAAAAGAGTAACTTTTGACTTAACTTAACTTAATTGTTTTGAAATAACTTAACTTAACAAGTTAAAAAAAAAACGTTAACTTTCCCAGCCTTTATAATATATATATAATATATAGTATATACAAATGGAAAGTGAAAAATGTACATTACCTCATCAATCGAGAACGGCTGGTCCGATTTGGCTCAAATTTTTTTTAAGATATTCGTAATTGCCAGGAGAAGGCTATTAAAGGCCATTAGGAAAATTCACCTCAAAAGCAGAAAATCTAGATGTAAAAAAAACAAAAGTGGCGCAACATTATATATTATATATTGGTTGCTATTGGTTAACCGCGGGCCTGTTTGTTGATTTGTATTATTATTTTTTATCAATATAATATATATATGTATAGGTACATATAAATGAATGTTTGTTTGAAGATTAGACCTCTGGGAAGAAGACAGGCTAGTTTATTTAAAAATGGTTAAATTTGGTTTTTTATTTTATTCATCTGATATTAGTACGGTTAGGTTAGGCTTAGGAATACGACAAACTTGGTATAACTTTGATACTTTACAGTTAAATAATACACTTAAGTACAAACAGAATGGGGTCCGCGATCTACCGCAGGTAGATTGCCTACCTGATAATATACTGCTGGAAATCAGAATTTTTATTCCGGGCCACTGAAAAGTTAAGATAAATTTTGAACACTATACACCAAATAATAAATAACGAATTGAACAAAGTTTGAGTCATATAGAGTTGGTACATTTAACGAGCAACGAAGTGCACGGGATCAGCTAGTACCTATATGTTATAAATTATTAATACATTATACAACTATAATTATTTATTATAGTTGTATCCACTGATTTATAGTTATATTAATTAAACATATACAATATATAATATTATTCACTGCGTACGTCTGCAAGTAACACCAGAATAATATAGTGCTTAGAAGGGCAGACTGCTAAAAAATAACTGTGATAAATCAATAATTTATGGTCAATTGTTACCTCTTTATTGAAATAAATAATCATAATATGTAAATATATAATATACATCATAAATGTTTTTTAAGTGGTATCTCTTTTATGTAATATAACATTTATAATATCGATAACCTATAATAAATTACCTTATAATAATATTTTAGATTATGAGCTGTGCGATGAATGTATTGCTTTTACATAATGATGTGATATCTGTGTTGTGTTCACCATAATTAATCGAAATAGTGCTTCGATTTTAAACTTCAATATCATGTTGGATGGGAAATTGAATCCATAGTTGGTGTATTGGGTAGGTAAAAATCCCATATTACAATAAGTGTTTAAAAGCCGGGAATTTTTACGCGAAATCGGTTTTCGACAAAATTGATTTTGGTTTTTAGTGTAACTCTAAAACAAATGACAGTATATAGATACATACAATTTGCACTTGTTATTTATATTAGCATTTTCTATACACGATAACATTTTCAAAATATTTTGATTTGTTTTGAACTGTTAACGGACATTTTCAGTTTCCATTTTTTTTAGTTTTCTTTTTTCTATAAATGCCATTAGTTGTCATTTGTTGGTAAAAAAAGCTTGAAAATGTAATACAATGATAAATGTATTTATTGACGAGATACACTCACTAGCTAGGAAGGTACCTACCATTCAGCAGAAGCATCCTCGATTTTTACAATAATAATCCTTTACAAACTCACTTCGAGTGATATATTTTAGGTAGACATCTTCCTACTATTGACTTCCTATATATATAACCCCCCATAGATTATAATAGACGTGTCCAGAGTAATATCTACAACGGTATTTTGGCCAATTGAGGCAATTGGGCAAAAAAAAAAAATATGAAATGTTGAAAGGGTACGGCAATTGGGCCACAGACGATAATATAACCTACTAAGTAATATTATATGAGAGAGATCGGGTAGTCGTCAACATAATAAATCCACAATGACTGTGCAATCTCAATTGTAAAACATTTCATAATATATTAGGTATTATATAGATGTTATATTAGGTAGATAAATATTATAATGTACCTATAGGGTTAACCTTATGGTTCCCTGGTGGCTAGTAGGTATTATTCAACAAAATATTATTTTATATTATTTTTAACGGGGCACCGAAATTTGTAACTCCAGCCCTGTCAAATCCACTAACAAGTATATTGGTATCGGTATTATGAATTTCTTAAAAAACTAGTTAAGTAGTGGCACGTTACCGAGTGCATTGTTTTTTAAATTTACATTTTAAATAACTATGTAACCTTCTGCTGCTTAAGGCAAACATTTTTGAAAAAAAATGTTTTCAAAAAATTTATATCGTATAGAAGCTTTAAAAACGTTAGACACGATTACTATTTACTAGGTACGTAAAAATAAGAATCACTTTAAAACAAAGAAAACATATACTGATATAAATATTAGCTAAAGAAGATATTATCAAAGAAAAAATGTTTGAATACAATTCCAGTCAAATGTCATAATTGAGATTTGTAAAAAAATATCCTAAAAATTAAATATCATAACTCATCAGTTTTAAAAATATTTTTAAATTATACTTATTGTAGTTTACCTTCTTTTACCATGGACGGAATTGATTTTCAATATTTTTTAACCGGAACTTAATTGGTATAAAAAAAGATTTTAGGGATGGATTCCGATTCATCCGGAAAAGGAATAAACCTATAGGTAATCAACACTAATATTATTATAATTTATACCCGCAGACCTCAGTACGACGTAATTGATAATTACTAATCCAATCAAATAATCTATCTGTATAATAAATTAATAAATAATAATATAATGATGTTATGCACGATTAGCATTAAAAAAATAAATAATTACAATACGTTTATTTAGTCAATACACATATTGAACCTTGTAAAAGTAAATAGGTACTTCCTTTTACACCTATATAGCTATACAGTAATGGTAATATTATGATAAATACAGCTCACTAGTTTATGGTTGCAAAAATTATGATATCAAACACATACAACTGGTATGTGGATAATAATAGGGACGATTAAATAATTTATAAACACATTAATATTGTGTTACATAATAATTAGGTGAGGCTCGAAATCCGCTGCATCGCCATTTCTCTTAATCTATACTTCTGCACTTGCTGATGCCGTCTTCGGGAACTCGTCCTTCTCGATGAATATGTGTTTGGGGATCTTGAAATGGGCGACCTGAAAATATAAAAAATAAACGAAACCGTAGTGCAGTTAGTACTGAAGTGGCTCTGTCAAATAAAAAACCACTCTCGGACTAAAAACTAACCTTTCCTTTGCAGTACGCTTTTATGTCGGCTTCGGTGATCTTAGCCCCTTCTTTGAGCATGACGCTGGCACACACTTCTTCGCCCATCCGATGGTCGGGTATACCGTATACCTGCGATAAAAAGTGATTATCCATCTGGTGTGCTTGTAAAATATGTACTAAATTAATATTATTAAAATACAATACTAATAATAACAATAGTAAGCGGTCACGAGGTGCAGTGCGGTTTTTTTATGAGGTTCCTTACCGGAACCGATACTTTTACTTTAAAATTTTTTTTACATAAATATAAAACCAAAACAGGTAAACATTTTTTTATTTTTTATAAGAAACCGTAACCGACGTTTTAGTTTTTCTGGGAACCGAACCGAAAAATCATCAAGGTTCCGGTCCCTGGTTTAAACACAGTTTAGTTGACAATACAATCAAATATTGACTGTAATATATTTCATAAATCATAATATAGCTAATTATACATTCACATAAATTTGTCACTAGGTATTAAACTATTAAGATCATATTATTGTATTATAATATTATAATATTGTCAATATAAATCGAATTCAAATATAAAAACTAGTCCTTGAAATTAATAAAATTATACTCCATGGTTGAAAACTTTTGCATTGTCAATGATAAATTTGGTTTAGCTATTAATAATATTGATTACAATTATAATTGTTGATTATAAATCATATTTAAAGTTAGTATTTATTATCAGTTTGACTATATTAATATATTGATTGATAAAATGTATTGAAAAATGCAATAATAATACATATTTTATTTAAACTATAAATTTTAATTTATGCTGACACTAAATAGTAGTAACTAATAAACTATTGCAGCTATCATGATAGTGTAGTAATGCCACTAAATCATACGATACTAAAAATATTGCAGCAAGTACGATGAGCAGATACGTCCTACCTATAGCATTAGTATTACATATTAAACAAAAACAAAATATCTTTGTATAACAAAATTTGTTAGATAGCAAATATTATATGTTTTATAAGTTATTTTAATTACAAAATATTTTGCAAAGCTTGGCGATTTTGACGAATTTTATCAAAATTTAAACAAATTTGAATATTCATAAAAAAAAATAAAAAAAAACATCTTCTTAAAATATTTGAATAAGTTACAAAAAGCATCAAGGAAAAAAATCATTATACTAACTTTAGATATGTGTAATTGTTACTAATTTTTATTTTTTTACTATTTCATTTAGTGTTAATAAAATATAAGAATTATGTTTGCAATATTGTAGTGATTTTTTTAAGGGTAGCAAAACATTTAAGTAATTTAAAATTTTAGGGTCGCGCTCATAAAAGTTTGGGAAAAGATAAAATATATACTTAATTGTAATTCATAGAATGTATGTATAATTAGTAATTATTACTTGAACTTGAGAAATTGACGGATGAGACTCCAAAAAGTATTCTATCTCTTTGGGAAATAAATTTTCTCCACCGCGGATAATCATTTCTTTTAATCTGCCAACGTGATTGCCATATCCGTCTTCGTACAAAACGAATTGGTCTCTAAATACAGCCGTAAAACAATATATAAACATGGCGGTATCATAGTACACTGAGCTAACAACTAATCAGCACATAATATAGGTAATACAACTAAATTAAGGGGATTAAAGGCGGTGATTTAATAAGGGGTCGCGTATAGGCAATTCAAAGTCTTATACTCGTTACGCAATGTGGTTGTGTGCGAAGTAAATGATCATTAATGTGCGTAGATACGTTCGGAATACGTCGTGTGCCACTCTCGCACGCACATGTCCATAAATCGAGAAAAACGATATATTATATTCTTCTATGCATCCACCCATAAAAACTACCAAAATCGGTAGTAAATTAAACATACTTCCTGAAGTTTGATTGTAATTTCGAAGAAAGGGTTGAATTCGTAAGCTCTCAGACTATGCTTTGTAGGAACCACTTTTTTGATATGAAAAATAAAAAGCCCAAAATAAATACAAATGTAATGCAATTATTTCATGAGATTTTTTTGAAAAAAATATCAAAATTGTATGGTCCTTTAAAATTGAAATTGAAAATCGACTTCCTAGTAAGCCTAGTTATTTTGCCACAAAATGCATATATATATTAAAATTAAAATCGAACATTCGGAAGAATGTCTAATATTGGTCTAAAAGTACCGAAAAATACGTGACATGTGATCCCCTTAAACGCATTATTGAGAGATTATTGTAGAGATTAATTTTTTTTATCCAGATCCACAGTCAAAACCGTAGGGATTACACGACAAAATAATCACACCTTGTTTGAATAGACAAATAAGATAATAATATAGTTTACCCAGTGTGTAGCCACCCATTCGAATCAATCGTTTCTTTTGTCTTCTCTTCGTCGTTAAAATAACAGTTCATGGTCAGGTATCCACGAATTAACAATTCTCCGGGAGTCCCGAACGGTACCATATCGCCATTTGTATCGATCACTTTCGCCTAGAATTTTACAACACACGCGGTCATAGTAATATTTTTCACATATAATAACAACGATCATATATTCGAATTTCGAGTGATCGACTATAGTCTATATATAATAGCGCCTACAATAAAGTTATTTACTATAATTATGTAAGTTCACAGTATACGTAACACGTTTGCGGTTTGCATGTAGAGGTGCAGGTGGTCGGAAAGGAATGAGACGGAGATTTGTTGGAGAGACACATGATGGAGATCTATGTTGGAGAGACTGTATGTAGATTACAGCTGGTAACTTATATTAATTAATGTAAGAAACCCGCCTTTCCGAATAAGGTTTAATAAGGTAATTATAATTCTAAATTATAATAAATCACCTCCCCCCTCATATCTTGGATCTGTGTCATACTATGTATAAATATTGCGTTGGACATCATACTGACCTCCACGTGATCATGTATGAAACCCATCGTCGACTTTACTCGTTCATCTGAATCGTCTGTGAAATTTTGAAACGAACAGATACTGGTTTCTGTCATTCCGAACACAGACTAAAATTATTGAAGAATTCGAAAATTATAAATAGTCAAACGAAAAAGTTATATTAATAGTTAATAATATTAGTTATATCGTTGTAGAATCGTTATTATAATCAATTTTAAAATTACCAATATTTTAGAGCGTGGAAACATGTTCTTGAACTTGGACATCAAAATCGGAGAACACGGGGCACCACCTGTTATTGCGACTTTCAAATCGTTATCTTGTAGTTCTGGTGGAAGTTTTTCGAAAGCGGATATGGTGTCCACGTGTACCGTTGGCGTACCAAATATAAATGTACATCTATAATAATAACGCATTTATAACAGTTATTTAAATTATATATTTATTTTTAGAAAATTAATATAACTATTAATATATACAATATATAATATATAACTATCTAAGCTTGAAATCGCTTTCTAGCTAGGTAAATTAGCATTCGTGAGTATTACTGATATGTCTCCCTACGACTATGTCTGACTACGTAATATGTTTAACATCCCATATCTTTCTTCTCGCCACGCCGATTTAGGTGAAAAATTTTCAATATTCCTTCTAAATTGTACCTTATACGCTCCCAATTTACTTGCTGAAATTCCATTCAATGTTTCTACCTGTAGAATACAAAACCACCTAGTACAGTTGTATATATAGCACCACTCAGCACTCTTCTGTATGGTTAGAATCATCCACTACAAGCGGAATGCTCCGAGTTAATAGTCGTCTGTCGTAAATCGTAATGCTCCTTAGTTGTTTTAGCTACGTTCTCTGGCTACTTGTATCACTTGTACCAAGATGAATTGATATCAATCCACCTTTACTTGTACTATTTTTCTTATTGTTTTTGTTTTACAATATAGCCATTGTTATTGTTAGATACTTAATAATTATTACCACCATACGTCCATATGTATTATTTATCCTTGTTAACGGCCGATTGGCGTAAAATAATGTAGGTAATTATATAAAATAAAAATAAAATAATATATAATATGTATATAAAAAAAATAATAAACGCATTAGCTTACTTTTCTTTCGTAAGAACATCGACCGTAGCTTTCGGATCGAAGTGGGCCGCCGGTAAATAAACTGTTGATTTGGTAACCAAAGGTGCAACGACAGCAATGGATAAAGCAAAAGCATGAAATAGAGGCATTGGACAGCAGAATTTATGTAATTTACCCTAAATGTATATAATACTCTTAGTATCAGCAGATAGGTAAGTAATATTATAATATTTACAACCAAAATCAATAACAAAATATTTCTAATAATTACTTTGTTGACATCATCATAGATCCCTAAACGCTTCATAATATGATAGGCGTTATTAATTAGTCCAAAGTGATTCAACAATGCTGCTTTTGGCTTGCCAGTGGTACCCTAAAAATAATTTCACCAATACATTTTTGGATACATTTTATTGCACGAACGGTTGACGGACAGTTTTATTTTAATTTTTATTGAGAGTAATATTTCTTAGTATACATTGATTTATTGTTTATAGCCAGAAATGCACCCTGTGACACAACGCTAATCAAAAAAAAAACAACTAGGTATATTTGGTACTATGAAGGCATTATTGAATGTATTACTTATTTATTACTGTGTATGTGCATATGTAGTGATAGGTACATAGCATTTTAATAATTTATGATATTATATGCATGGCATTCAAGACTATATCTGATTTTAGAAAATATGGAAGATGCATTTTAACTCTGAGAGTTAACAAAAAAAAAAATGTGTTCATTAGAAAAAATAATTCTTTTGCTCATTGCCAAAAAAGTTATACTGTAAACGCTACTGAATGGAAAGTCTGATCGTAAAAGTTAAACGTTGTGTTAGAAATTCATGTATCAATAAGACATTATATTATTATGTATTAAAAACCAAATATTATAGCATAGGTAGGTATAATAAAAACCTAATCAGTTCATTGTTTTGCTCACTGAAGTAAACTGAATATTACATCCTTCGTCTGGCTGAACCTTAGGAATACTGTAATTTGTATTGGATCCCAGGTCCAAGAACGTTTGTAAATTAAAGGCACCGCTGTAACATAAGTTATTATGATATTAATTATTACTATTCAATATTATCTTCAGCTTACGAATATATAGGATGAATAGGTATGTAGGTACTTCAGTTATTAATCAAAATATCAAAAGTAATAATATGCAATTGCTAACTTTAATGAGTTTTCGGAATAAAAAATAATCGATTCCAGCGTGGGCAACTTTTTCGATTTAACCGGCGTATTGGGCGGTCGCTTCCAAATGTCCGGATCGACCTTCTCCAATATTTCTGGATAGTTTTGGGTCTTGAACTTCTCTAAAATCACCAAACACTTCACTTCAGCCAGCGTTAAGCTGTGTTTCAGTTCGTCGCTCTGATAAGCTGGATTGATGTTTACCTACAATCATAATATACATAGATGGTGAATTTAGCAATATAATATCACCTACCCCGAAAAACTATAATGAACTGTACTGATAAAAGTTTTCGTCGGTTAAGATTAAAGTATTATTATCAGTTGATACAATTTGAGAACATGGATCACGAGTGTATACCTACCTACATAATATTATAATATAAATTATGAAATAATATTTTTAATATTATATGATTTCAAAATCGACAAAAAGTTTTAAATATACCTACACAATAATTAATATATAATAAATACCTATCTACCGGCTACCAGCCATATTCCGATGTCAAAACCTTGACAAAAAAACTACTGGATCTACTGGAAATTTTATTAAAAATAATTTAAATTGGTACCCAGGTACTCACACACCTGCATTCACACCGCACATGGATTAAACTTTCATCGATATTATATACTGCTATCACCGGGATATGGATCGGATGTACTGAAATATACATTTATGATTAGGGAAAGGACTTAATTGTAATAAAAAAATCAGATATGTACAAGAAAAATTAAAAATATGTAACAAAATTTGGCGACGATTTGGTCGCAAAATGCTTTTGTACTCACTGAAAGGAAACATGCGGAACATCGACTATGTAATGTGGACATACTTTATATTAGCTACATCAAGTGGTGTGAATTAAGAGTTCAGTGATTTTGTGGGATTTAGTCCTATATATATAATATATATATATATTACAGTCTCTAATTATTTTCATATTTTTAGTCCATGATTTTTCCCGAATACTACAGACTTGGGTAAAATAATTTTTAAAAGTATTTTAAATACACATTCCGATTACTTAAAAAAAGTATTCAGAATATATATTCGAATACTTTATGATAATAATATTCCCAAGTATTCGGAATACTTCACAAAAAGTATTCCAAATATTTTTCGAATACTTTTATTTAGATTTCAATAGCAAAAATATTATTTTTTCAATTCTGTGTTTAAAAACTAACATTATTATAATCTCGATAATACACACCTATCTGGCTAACTATTAGTTATAAATTATATTCAAATTGATGTAATTAATAAGTAATAATAAGTAATTTATATGAGTATACCTATAAGAAAAAAGTATTCCAAATACTGTACTCAGAATACTTGTAAAAAGTATTCAAAACATCGTATTGAATACTTTAAAAAAGAAGTATTTAAAAAGTATTCGGAATACTACCCAAGTCTGCGAATACATAATATGCACATTTTTCTTTTATGGGCCTCGCTACTGCTTTTATTTAAGGGGCAACATTTAGGCAATTTCTAATATCGTCTTAGCTGCCCGGGCTCATTCACTATAGAATTTTACGAAAGCTTACTTATTGTTTTGACAAAATTAATGTTAGTTAACGTTGTTTAATTTTAATTCTGATAAAATATTTAAATTCAGCAGAAAAATGTATCTAGACTGTACAACACACCTCATCTTTAATTTAAATTAAGATTTAAAAAAAATCATATTTTCAAGTTTTCAATTACAGTTGACAATAATATGAGATTCAATTTTTACTCAGTGTTCCATACGATTTATAGACAATTTTCTGTAGAGTTAAATTTTTTTTTTTAAATCAAAATTGGACAACGTAAACCAACTTTAATTTTGTAAACAATTAAGGTCTTTTGGTCTAAAATTTACGGCAGTATAGTGAGTCCCCTTAACTAAATTTCCTATGTGTCCTTGTACTTTATCTAATTAATACTGTAATTCTTCAACAATACATATTAAGCTTTCTGACAAGGGCATATTTAGTGTTTCCAGTTGTTTTATCGTATGTACAAAAGAACCAATATTCGCAGGCGCAATGTAATCTAAATTATTATTTAAATAAAAATTTTCCATCAAATTGTTAGATTTATTGGTTAACGGTGGTAGTTTCGGTAGTTTCTAGATCTGAAATTGTTTTTTTTATTTTTTCTAAAGGTTCACAATAATATTTGAGTGGCTTCTAACCATGTACTGTAGGTTCCATCTAGTTAAAATACGCTCTGAAAGGTTTATTTATTTTAAGTACCTTATTTTTTAATGAACTTGCAAATTTAGGCGTTTTAAACATTTATGTAAAAAACGACACAAATTCGATGTACGAAGACAAACAAATAATAACTATAAATAGCCTATAATACAAATTCCATCTGAACAGAGTCTCTGCACACAATATTATACTGAAGTTTTACCAATAGGTGGCTATGTATAGGTACTTATCGACAACGTATATAATTATAGCGACATGTCAGCATATATTAAGTAGATACCTACGTAAATGTAATTTAGATAACGAGGAGTATAATTTAGTCGTCTTCAAAAAATAATAATCTTGTTATTTTAGGCTTTCATTACCTAGGTATTTAATTTATCAACGACGTATTTAATAGCGGCATATCGATACGTGTATTACAGTGGATGCCGTTTAGATTAAGCAGATAATGATTGTCGTCGTCAAAAATCAATGAAAAAATCAGAAAAAATTAAAAATTAATAAAATATGCAAAACAAATTTGGGTTTGTTTCAATTAGAATGATACGTATAAATCGTACATATTTTTTTCAGATAAAAATATCTAATTCCAATAAAAATATGTATTTACAATAAAATCAGTTTCCTGTTTACGAATTATGATACTTATTACATTTTTTAAATTCCATGACAAGCTAACAAACATTGCTACTTATTAATATAATATCATAGATGACGTAGAAAAATGTCTAAGATGTTCAATAACACGTAGGTACAAACAAGAAGCGAAATTGTTTTTAAGTATTATGTCTTGACGTGGATTGAAAAAAAAAACAATTAGGTAGATAGTTTGTAAAAAATTAAAATTCATTGAAATACATAAAGACACTGCAGCAGCACTAGCTACAGTGACGTAGCCGGGGGGGGTCCATGGGGTCCGGACCCCCTGTTAGGTTAGTGAATATGCGTGGAACGAAAATGCCCCCCCCCCCCCGAAATAAAATCCTGGCTACGTCCCTGACTAGCTACACAGAATAAGCCATCACAATCAATTTGTTTTTTTCCGAAACGAAAATCTTAAATATTTATACCATAAACTTTCGTTCTTGATTTTATATCAAACAAAGAAAAAAATCGATAAATACTTACCAAAATCAGTCCCAGGCGAGCAGTGGCGATAATCACCGAATAGTAAAACGCGTAATTGGGCATCCATATTCCTACTCGGTCGCCTTGCTTGAGGCCAATAGAATTAAAGCTCCTGCAAAGCTCATCCACCTGTGGCAAAAAAAAATTTGAATCAATTAGCATACTAGTTTACAGTATTATAGCAAGAGTACATATTTTTCTGCGTGTTGCCAAACATAAAAATGGGATAGTTGTTTTAACTCTTTACTATGTTCTTGACCATTAAAATTGATGTTAACTGCATTTGTCAGTCAAATTAAATGAAATGGAACGTTTATCTAAATACAGTATCTTAACCATTTGAAGTTATTAAAATAACCTAACCTCTGTAGTTGTCCATTTATATAACGACGTTTTCCCAACATTCATAATGTTAGGCAGTGGCTCGTTATGTTAGAAATCCCACTTAAGATGCCCCCAGGAATATATTTTGCATTTTTTTTTATGCATTTTAACAACCAAATCAGTATAGTTATCTTAACTCCATAAAATGAGATTGCGTTAACATGGGTATAGTTATGTAGTTGTAACTATACTTTTTATGAAGTTAATTATTGAACTAAAATAAATAGTTATAAGTTATAACAAATGGTTACTGTTAATTACACAGCGTAATAAAATCAACACTCCTTCGGCCCTGAGCGAAATTTAACGCTCAAATGTGAATGGATTTAACTAATGTAATTGATAAACCAAGTACTCAGTAAAACAACCTCACAGTTTTTACGTGTGCACGCGTAGTAATAATTATTGTTGGTACACGTCATAATCGGGTGTAATAATGATAAAAATATATAGGACAAAAAATCGTAGTGATATTATCTATAGGCAATAATATAATGAAATTATATTTTTTAGTTTTCGCTGACCTCGGAATCCATGACGGCAAACGTGTATCGTCTGTTCTCGTGTGGACTGACCAGGAACTCTCGGTCCGGAGTCTGTTGCACGGCGTCATTGAAAATTCCTCCTATCGTATAAGCTCTGAGCGGATCATTCGAGGCCCCGCACACGTAGCTGTACTTCGACCAGTGATGATTATTCCTCGAAAATCTATGATGACTGCAGAAAAACGCAAACGACGATGAATTATGGGAGACATAATTATTATTGTACGATATTATTACAAAACTATATAGGTAATAATATATTGTATTGTTGTATTATGTATCTGTTTATTACGCGCGGTGTTTTAATACGTCTTGTAATAGGTATACATGTACAGAGTGTAACAGATAGAACTGACTTTTGAAATAACTTTTGTTCCAAACAATATTTCAAATTTTTTTTTAATACATAATTTATAGTCACTTGCGCTACACACAATTATATTATACAAAAAATTGTTCATATTTTTTAACACTGAAAATGAAAAATTTCAAGTTTGATTTACATTTTTTTGGCTATATTCAAAATAACCAAATTTATGATTCTGATTATGAGAACAATTTTAATAATAAAAACATCTGTTGGGTAGTTTATTTTTTAGAATTTTTTTAAATATCAATATTCTTTTGATTAAATGAATTTGGAAAGTTATAACTTTTTTCAAAATATTTTTTTGGGGGATTTGCTTACGTGAGTATATTATTTCTTAAATTATTTACTACCTAATCATATAATGTTAACAATTTTTTTTCATACGTTTAAGTAGCATCTTTTTTTTCCAAGTCCTTCTGTTACCTATTCGTTTTATGTAGGAGTTTTCTGATTTTTTTCCGAAATAATGCATTACCTACACTATAATACATCATACGATATACAAACGTCTAAGCATATAATATATGTATACCGTTTATGTCACTGAAGTATTCGAGATCATTATTTTCTCCTGAAGACACAGCTAATATAGAGTTCACACAAATTTCATTTTGTTTGATAATATGCTTTAAATGTATAATATAATAAAGACGAAACACGAGACTATATTATAATAAATAATAATTATTATTATTATTGTTCATAATCTTAATATTTTTAATTGACCTGTTTATATTTCATAATAAATTTTAAAATATACCTATATACCTATAATGAAATAGGTACACCTTATTTATTTGTGGGCCAAAAATCAAAGTGGTTTTTCATTCATTATATTATTATATCATCGATTAGAATAGGCCGTATGCCGTATTACACACTTGGAAGCTCTGTAGGTCATGACTCATGGCCAATCGTGCGAAAATGACCTCGTTGCGTGCTAAACCTGATTTATATATATAAATATATATTTATATACTTTTTCAGTTTTTTAGCCGAATAAAATGGCCAAGGGGCTAGAAAATATCGGAGGGTGAACGCGTGACAAGTGACCTACCCTCTACAGTCTGTATTACACTTTAGTGCTGCACCTTGATATTCGTTTTTGTGTAGATATGCAATTAAAACAAAAAAACACGATATGCCCAGTACAATTTTCTAATTTTACAATATTATTTTGAACTAGTGCAGTTGCACAGTCCAAATTGATACTGCAATTATATATAATGTACAAAATATAAAAATGTATTTATATTTTACAGTAATTTATAAAGCATTAAGTGTGAGACTTATATTAACAATAATAATAAAACCGTTTCTAAATGTTTTAATATTGAAACGTATATTGTAGTAACATGATAGACAAAATAAATAATAATATTTAGTATTATTTTATTTTCTATTTATTTTATATATCAACGATGATACATAGTATTAATTATAGTTAATTCCAAAAATAGGTAGGTACTTACATGTTATGTCCATTGAGAGTACGTAGTCCTTTCAGGTTTCTTGTTTTAAACAACAAGCTGTTTGTCATTTTATTGATTCCAGTCACTTAGCTCACGTGAAATAAAATCATTTAAACCGTGTAACTGTAATATTGTACTACCTACTTTGTAAATTAATACTTATGCAAAATTATAATTGGTATTTTACCTACTGTAGTTTTGTGTATATTAGGCGTTCTGAAGTTGATTAACAACTGTCAGTCATATTTAAAAATCTGACAATAATTTATCACACTGTTATATAATAATATAATACCAATATTATCAGTGATATTGAAAATAAAATGCACAATAAATAAAATATGGTTCAACACAAGAAAGAACTGAACAAATTCGACCGTGGGAGAGGGACAAGATCGTTGAAAGTTTATTGTGATTGGTTGTCTGAAAATTAAAAAAAAAAAATATATAATTTATTTTTATTAAACGAGATACTTATTGGTATAGGTTTACGATACCTTTAGATGTTTACACAACACAACAAAAATAAAAACATAAACGATAAACAATAATTATTATACAATTCTGACCGAGTTTTGTTTTTAATGCGTTTATTGAAGAGTTTTCAAGAGCATTCAACTACAACTACTGCAAAATAAGGTATTTTAATTTTAAGATTTATTCATATTATTAACAACGGTGAACGAAAATAGAATTGCGTAACAAGATTAATTGAAATTATAATATTATTTTGTAGTTTAAATTGAATAATTCATTTAGACTCATTAAAATGTAGCAGACTGTCATCAATAACCTCTCTCTACACCATAAAAAATTATTTATATGAATATTTATATAATATTTTGTCGAACCTAGGACGTTTCCCCCCGTGCCTTTTCCTCCCTGATACAATGGAAGTTTCCCCCCCGAACGGGAAAATTTCCCACTGCACAAAAAAAATAAATATTAAACAATAATAATATACAATGCAAATAAATAAATGTACAAATGATTAATTTAATATATAAATACAATTGTATAAATGTAAATAAATACTCTACTGTTTGCAAAAATTAAACAATACAAATCAAAATAACCCAACTAATATATTTTATTCTAGTAAGATAGGTAGCTCACGGAATATAATAACGTCATAATTACACAAACACATAAACAATCATAATATACAATACAAATAAATAAATGTGCAAACGATTAAATTAATGTATAATTAATATAATAAATATAATTGTATAAATGTATGTTTTTATTTTTTTATTCTGGTAAGATAGCTCACTGAAATTTTAAAATATCATCATTTGAAATACTTCTTAATACTACTTCTACTTTTTAATACTTCCAAACTTTCAGGAGATGAAAAAATTATAATTCTATTTTCATTATTTTCATTGTCATATAATAAAAATGGCTGAAGATTTTCACCTCCTGTTGTTGCCCATATACCAGTCACTTTCAACTCATTTACTGGTACTAAGGGTGGATAAGATGCATTTTTAATTTTCCTTAACTTCTTTTTACACTGTTTTCGGCTGGCATTAACAACTTTGCTTCGTTAGATAAATTTATTGTAGCTTTGGAAAATATAATAGAAGGCGGCTCAGAATGATTTTTTGCATTATTTTTCGTTGATGATAACGTTTTTATTAGCTCAACTTTAACTGGGCAGGCTCTATGGTTATTATGGTCAGTTGTAGTAACAATAACTTTAATATACTGTCATCGGTTGTAATACTTCCTCGACAACTATTTTCATTATTTTTAGATTTGTTCATACAATTCCGACGTTTCCCCAATTTAACACGTTTTTGTTTAACATAACATACAAAAGTACAAAAATATGAATTTTTAACACCTCATTTGGTTCAATTATTTCTATTATATCCATTATAAAATGCACAAGAACGGACTGTTTACGCACAATGTTACGAACTATACTAACTACTAAGGGCTGATTTCACCAACACAGTTAATCACGGTTAAGATTAACCGGAGTTTAATCGGCCAAATTTGGCCGATTAAATATCTGTTATCAGCCGATTAAGCGTAATCGAAGTTTAACTGTGTTGGTGAAATCGGCCCTAAGAGACATAAAAGCAAAAAATGTTGTTAATAGTTTAGATAATTTATTTTATTTTTAATTCATTTTACTTTTTAGGTTTATCAATCATTACCCATTAATTCGGGTAATAAATAAATAACGTGATTGATGATTATCGATTATATGATTATCGATAGATGCCGATATGATATATGATTTTATATTATGATGATCGCATATTTCGGGTAAATCCAAAGAACCTATTTTCAAACCTATTATTATGTGTAAAAAATATATATATTGAGTCGGGGGGAAACGACCAGTACCATTAAGATTCCCGGGGGGCACGGGGGGAACATCCAGGTACCTATTTTGTCATGGGTGTACAGAGCCAACATTTACATTATTCCCGGTTCGAACTGTAAACGAAACGAATCATCTTATACAAACAAGAGCTGATACTATAAGGATGCACATTTCTGGAAATGTGTGGAAATTCTTAGGAGTCATACTGAATAATTAATAGATTATAGTGTAGCTTGTAAATAATTGCGCCCACATTAAGCAGGTAGTAAAAATACTATAGTAAATTGCACCCGGGATTTTTCGGTTTCTAAAATACGTATACTCAATTGCGACGGGATTTTTCGGGGTCTAAAATAGTTATAGTAGCTATATAGTTATAGCTCCCGTTGTATCTAAGTGACCTTGAATTCACCGTTACCTATTATGTGTATTTTAAAAATACTGTTGTTCATTTATTGGTGGATAACTGGATAAGGCGACGTTTATCGTTATAATCGTTATGAATATTATGATAGGCCTTTACGCGTATACAACGACATTATACGTATAGATAATATTTTAGTAAGCCGTTTGCGTGAAACATGGATATTATACATACTGGATTTAGCCAGAAAGAAAATTATGCTATAATCTACCAAACTTATGCATTTTAAAAATATTAAAAAGTGAGTTGTCTTCGGGTGAAACAAAGTGGTGGCGATGTAGCGTAAAAACGTGTACTGAGTAGCTAGATGACCAGGCGCAATTTACAATTAATTGTTTCCCTTTGTTGGACGCAATTTACGTTTTCCTATAGTTTACGCATCATATACGGCAAGTTTTTAGCGAATTTAATTTAAATATTCAAATTTTTCACTGAATTTCAGTTTAAAAACAATAGGTTTCAATTGAGATATGTATATTATGTACATACATAATGTTACCCATATTTCCATAATGTCATTATTATTATGCCATTATTGGTGGAAAAATTCAATGGGGGATAAAAATGATAAACAAACAATTAACATGATATATATAGGTACTAAATAACGATTAAATCCAAAACATATTTTATAAATGTTAATAATGATATTATATTTAAATTGAATTCAACTTATAAAATAAATCAGATTTTTTGATTTTTTTAGTATATTATAAAACAATTTTAAACAATCAAAATCTTACTGCTAAATTAAATAAATTGGCAGGTATGACGAAAATGGGAGATTCCACAGAAAGGTAATTAAAATAATGCAATAGAAATTTAGAATAATGAATTGTAGGATATTCAAATATAATAGCAATAAAATTATTAGTATTATATATATCATATGTACAATTTTTTTTTTTTAATGGGGCTTTTGATGAACATTTGAAAAAAAATATGGCCCGTGTGGTTCAAAAAGTTGCCGACCCCCTGCCCTAGACAATAGTCCATATTATAGGTACACCTATAAAATACGATCAGTTTAAGGTAAAATGTATAACTGCAGGTTGGCGTCCATATTAACAAACAAATAGATACAATTAATGGGAAACTATATACTTGGTATATGTCGTGAATATTTTGTTTGCATTCCGAGTGTTTGATAACATTGAATACCTAATCGGCTAATCAACAAACCATTAGTGTTTGACTTTAAAAAAAAAAAAAAATTCCATTATTCCCCTCAGAATTCAAAACACTACCTACTTTGTAAAAGCTAACTCTAGCTGATACAGTGCTACAGTTGGGTGGACCACTGGAGATGGTAGGTATGTTTATAAATATATATGAAAAACTTGTCCCGACTGACTGACTGACTGGTTCATCATCACCTAGTTTAATTCACTAAGTTATGTAGGCACACTAATGCTGATTTTACCGTGAACTGAGATGCACTCAAACCGAGATACACCTTATAATACAGAGTTGTATTTTATATTTATTCATTTTTGTTGGGTTTTATAGCTATCTACCACATAATATCAAAGGTCTAAAATGAAAGAACCTTTTGCAAATCCACAGTTTTTGGCCGATTTTTAATAAAATGTTCATCAATAGATTCAGCCATGCCCTTCGTGTCATAGGCTATATTTTATTAATTACTTTTTAGATTTGAACATATAGAATGTTGAATATATTTGGCACACGAGAAACAATTTATTATTTTATTTATATATGTTGTTGTTATTGGTTACAGACTATAAAATAGTTATTTTGATTGGATATAATTTTAGACCTGCGTATGTTATATTTGGTAAAAACAACTCAAATAATTAGGCAACGCCCAAAATTCTACCTCTAAGGGTTTAGGTATGTATAATTTGTTACTTAGCAGAAACCACTGAAGCTATGAGTATAGAATGTTCAGTAGGTTTATAATACCATTGATTATATTATTGTAACCTATTGTTATATATTATATTATTGTATTATCATTGATTATAGTATTTATAATCAATGATAATACCCACCACGAAAGGATTTTCCAAAATTGTAAAAAGGATGTAAAAATGGAAAACTTTATTTCTTTTTAGAATTTTTCGGAAAGGGGTAAAAAAGGCAAAAAACATTATACTTGGTTACATTATAGTTATTTTAGCCCCAAAATGCAGTACCACAAATTGTATGTATAAAAAGGTATTACCATATTGGCATGAATAAAATATATCAATTTAAATTTTGGTGTGTTTGTATATCACCGCCATAACGTAATATTATTATGTTACAACGACATCGTAAGACCTCTTAAATTTTTAGAAGAGTACCCCAGAAACAACTATTATTAATAAACCAATGTGATAATTATTATTAATTTATAATATTATTAACGCTAATGATCTAAAGACAATATCTAACTGTAGTGTAAAAAACTAAAAGCTGATAAAAAAACCGTTATAAAACAAAAAACTCCACATGGGCGAGGCCGGGTAATTCAGCTAGTGTGTACCTATAGGTATACATAATATTATGTGGGTAAGCAAAATACAAATATTTATGTATATATAAGCTCAGTTTAAACAAAGATTTCATAGTTGTTTATCATTAATTTAGTATTAATACTTTAATTAATACTATAAATAAATTATAACACAAATTTTACATACTTGATCTACAATAAGTGCTTGAGAATTTATAGTACTTACCTACTATCTAGGTATATAAATGTATTTCGCGATAACCAAATTTAACAAAAATTAGCAATGTATCTCCAAGGACCAAATTATAGGACCTACAATATAATAATAAAACACGTAAGAATAAATATAATATTATAATCATTGAACACAAACCAATAAAGGATGTTTGCTATTATTTTTTATCTAACAGTTTCTAAAATTTGTATCATTATATTATACTTACATAGTTGATTATTTTAACACTAAACACACATTTTATCGAAAAATAATGACGTTGTCAAGTTTTTTTTTTCGTAAAATGTATAACCATAAAGAAAAATTTTTAAAATAAATATTTTTTACAACTTTTCATGGTCATTATCTTTTTTAATTTTTTAATGTTTTTAAAGAAACACACATTATATTGTATTTTTATGTTCCCAAGAAAAATATTTTTCCAGCATTTCTTTAAAAGATCGAATTCCGTAGAAGTTGATGGGTAGTAAATTAGTTATAAATTCACAATTATTCAAAGTTTAGATGAACAGAGGGTCAAAGTAGTTGTTGCAAGGCACAAGTAGATACCTATTTTATGCGGACCTTTCTGCCCCTCTACTTTAAATACATGTAAGTGATTAACCACTCGTTCAAAATTCCATTTTTATATTATATTACAATTCTTAGGAAAAATAATCTGTTTGGTTATATGATATTATAATTTTATGTCGTTTTTCGTAAAATATAAAACTTAAAAAGGTGGGTAAGTTGATGTCACTCTGTTGTACTGTAGGTTACAAATGGGTCACTGTAATGGACTGTGTTAAATTTGAATTCAATGATATAATATCATTGTATAAGAAAACGAATCTGAGCGAAAATGGTCAGTCAGCCTATGATATTACGAATTATATTAATTTATGATATTAAGGTGAATAAAGTTATTTATATATAAAACTTATTTACGTATAGAATCTATTGTTTTAAATTGTCAATCCTTAGCTATAAAAGTTGAACATTTTTTATAAATTATTAAATTTTAAATATGATAAATGTTGTCAACATTTGAACTTTTAATGCTTATAAAAAAAAATTGAGCCTTTGTATTTTTAATATTTGCATTGCATTAAATTTCCACTCTTTTTTACCCGACAAATAAAATTTTATTGATATTTATAGAAAATAAAAATTTAAAAAAATGGAAACTGAAAATGTATGTTAACAGCCCAAAATAAGTCAAAATATTTAGAAAATGTTATGGTGTATAGAACATGCTAATATTCAGTAATTCATAACATTCAGTCAAAATTTCATGTACCAACGGTAATTTGTTTAAGAGTTGCACCAAAAACCAAAATCGATTTTTTCGAAAACAGATTTTGCATAAAAACTCCCGTTTTTCCTTAATTTTTCTTTTGTTTTTCACGGTGCTTTTGAAAACTACTGGGAAATTTTTACTTTGACTCCCAAAGTACCAACTAGATTAACTTTCCTATCAGAAAAGATACTGTTGAAGAAAATCTAAGCATTTTTACTGTCCTAAAAGGTGATGACAGACACAAAAAAAAACACACATCATTTAAAATCAATACATCCATCGCTCGGCTCAGAATCTAATATAATATGTAATGTTGTATTTACTCAACGAAATTGTATAATGTTGTGTTGGCGTCTGGCAATGGCGGGGAATGAGCTATTTTAGTCGGGGGCGACGTGTGTTTCACGAAACGCAGGCGAGGGCTGCATTTCGCCAAAGACTGAAATTGCCTTCTCGCACGAGCCACACATATTATTTTTTTTTCACACATTCATAAATGTATACCGACTCCGAAACTATACCTCCATCGATATTACGGTAATCATAATGAACTGTTTTTGCCGTTCGGAATCTAGATTTTCCAATCTTTATTTTATATAGAACAAGTTGGTACTGGAGTGACCCTAAGCTATAGTATTTTATATACTAGACCAGAAGTTCTTATAGTGTGGTATGCGGGATTCTACATGGTGGTACGCTGGAGACCGCGTGGAGGTAGTACGAAAAATTAATAAATTAATATTTTTAATGATGTTTGAAGGTTTGAACCTGATCAAATAATATTAATTTATATGTATATTTAAGTAGACACCTACTAAATATTATACCGTTAAATGCACCTAAATTATTATTTCTATACATTATTATTATTGTTAAAATATATATGTATTGAAATTTGCAATGTTTATAAGTCAGTTATCACCGACCAGAGATTCTGTTAATATTACAATACAATTAATAAAATATATTTAAATTTAATAAATAAATATTCATAATAATTTTATTTCAGTTCCATTTAGTTTTAAAATTTAAGGTTATAAGCGATTCTTCCTAAGTTACAAAGTGCTGCCGATTTCATTGAATTTCTTCACTATGTTCAATATCATTTATTCATAATTCTTATACCAATTTGTTTTTTGGTCTGTATCCCCAGAAATGTATTTATTTAACCTCGCTGTTAAACATATTCATTTTTTAATACAATTTATTTTACTCAATAACCACAGTATGTATATTTTAATCCAATCAAATAATTAATCTGTATAATGGTAGGTATACCAGATACCTATGTGTAATAACAATAGGTACACGCGATTAACGTAAAATAAATAATATTATTTATAGGTAATATAATTATTTAGCCTATAATATACTTACTGGGGAGTTTGTAATTTGCACCACTTTAAAGATATATAATTTACACCACTGCAGGCAGTCGATAGTAGTGTTTGTAATTTGCACCACCCTCAGATAGTAAGAAGAATAGGAATTGTAATTTGCACCAAAATTTAAATCGATTATTTTTTTGATAGTACCAACTTAAAAGTTTCTGTATCCTAATATAATTTTAGCTTAGTTTTATTTGTAAAATAGCTGAGCTTATACACATATTGTTATAAGTTTATATAAAATCGTATTATTATGAACATAGAAAAAGTTAGCTTTTTTAATTCTACATAATATAATTATTTTAATTGACTAACTTTTTTTATATTTATAATAATACGATTTTATATAAGCTTACAACAATATGTGTATAAGCTCAGCTAATTTATAAATAAAAACTAAGTTAAATTTTTATTAGGATATAGAAATTTGTAAGTTGGTATCATCGAGATACTATCGAAAAAATAATCGATTTTAATTTTGGTGCAAATTACAATTCCTATTTCTTACTACCTGATTATGGTGCAGATTACATGTCCTTATTTTGGTCCAAATTACAAACGCATTTCCAAAAATTGTTCCAAATTACACATGTTGTATAAATTTTGGGTCAACTTTGGTGCGAATTGACTACAACCACTTACTGGACTTTGTAAACATAACGACGTGACTTCTTGATTACGTAGGTATAAGGTATATAGGTAGGTATAGTATGTATGATAATAATATTATATGGTAAAATACAGTTCAGTTGATAATAATATATAGTTTTAAAAATTAACAATCACAGTGGTAACGCATATAAAACGAGAGATTCAAATGCCTGTGGAAATAATACACTGCAGTTGACTTGTGTATTATTATTTACGTTTGATGTTTCGTATTCATAATAAAATTAATTAATTAAACTATATTAGGTAAGGCTCGAAATCCGTTGGATCGCCATTTCTCTTAATCTGTTCTTCTGCACTTTGCCCGATGCCGTCTTCGGGAACCCGTCCTTTTCGATGAATATGTGTTTGGGTATCTTGAAATGGGCGATCTGAAAATATATAAAATAAACGACCGTAGTGAAGTTTAACTAAAGTAGCTCTGTCGAATAAAAAACAAGCCACAGCCTTATAACGAACCTTTCCTTTGCTGTACGCTTTTATGTCAGCTTCGGTGACCGTAGCCCCTTCTTTGACGATGACGCTGGCACACACTTCTTCGCCCATCCGATGGTCGGGTATACCGTATACCTGCGATAAAAAGCGATTATCCATCAACGGTTGTGCTTATAATATGTGGGGTTTCATCGATTCCGCCAGACCTTTTTATACTTGGGCATCGATTCCGCCAGTGCAGGTAGTATAAAAACAACCTATTGATTCCGCCAGAGAAAAAATAATCTTCCCGAACGCTTAAGTTTTATTTTACTTACATAGCTATATTATAAATATTATATGAAATACCTGTATAAAAATGTTATCGCTAATTGATGATAATCTAACTTGTATACGAGTAATGATGCGAAAAACGACTAATAGTAAAATCACTAATCTGCAGGTTAGTCTCAATTTATCATCGTGTCATTATACTTCGCAATAATGAATTTCGAAATCGTAGCTGGTGAACAAGAAAATGACTTAGTTATTTATCAAAATGGAAAATTTTGTAAACAAACTTTGTGGAATATTTATATGCGTATAAGTGGAAACGAATCCTTGACGGAAATTTTAAAATATGATATTGACCATAAAAACCATGAAAAACAACCATAAAAAAAACTATTTTCAAACCAACTTAAAAGAAAACTTACTGATGTCACATAAAGTCCTTCAAAAATTATAAATCGTGAAATACTGAAAAATTCTTAAATTGAAAATATCATAGAAAATGACTATGCTGACAATATCAAACATAGATCGAGAACGTAGAAAACGCATACCTTCGCTTCCAAAAAATCTTATTGAAGCTTTGAATAATCGTGAAATAAGAACTGTTGAAGGTGAGTCATTTTTAATACTGATTTGGTGAACAATATGATGTGTTTTTTCTACAGACAGTAATCTGAAGGCTCTAGAATCGTCTAATACAATATTTGTTGATGCTACATTTTCTTCGTAAATATACATTTACTCGAATTTGTCAATAAAGGAAGGTATACTATAATTTTTTTTTTAATCTATAGTCATTTTACAATCTTTAAAATTTTATTTTTACAATAACTAATAAGCAGAAGACTTGATGTTGTGGATTTATAAGAAATATAAGAAAAAGTAGAATAAAATTAATAAAATAAAATTTACAACATTTCAGACAGTGAAGAGGCCATCCATTGATAGAACTTCTTAACATGTAAAAGTGGGGGTTAGTCAATTAGTATAGATCACGATACCACGTTTGTTTCGGGCGCTTTCTGGGGTCAGCAGGAATAGTAGGAACAGCTAATAGTTCTAAGACAAAGGGATTGCGGGGTGGTTGAGGAGATTGGAAATTTTAAAATTTAAAATTATAAATAATTATAATAATAATAATACTCGATTACCTAATAGTATTTTTTGATTTTTCCCAACTATATACTTTGTATACATATTAATATATTATTTACTTAACAACCGTAGTATAGGTATGCGCATATATAATTACTTGAACTTGGGAAATCGACGGATGAGACTCCAAGAAGTATTCTATCTCTTTGGGAAATAAGTTTTCACCACCGCGGATAATCATTTCTTTTATTCTGCCAACGTGATTGCCATATCCGTCTTCGTACAAAACAAATTGGTCTCTAAATACAGCCGTAAAACAATATTATAAACATCGAAGTATCATCTTATCATAACGAGCTAACAACACAAAAACACATAATATATAGAGGTATGCAATACAATTATCACATACTATATATTATACAGATCGATTCTTTTATCGCGAGCCACAAGCAATATCATAGCGATATACACGATATAAGAATCACCCTGCAGTTCGAATAGACAGTAGCTAATATATAGCTAACAACTAATCAACACATACAATACAATTAAATTACACATGCTATATAGAGATTGATTCTTTTATCCAGCTCCACAGACAAAATCGTAGGGATTACACGACAAAAGAATCACCGTGTTTGAAAAGACAATAGCTTACCCTGTGTGTAGCCACCCGTTCGAATCAATCGTTTCCTTTGTCTTCTCTTCATCGTTAAAGTAACCGTTCATGACAAGGTACCCGCGAATTAACAATTCCCCGGGAGTCCCGAACGGTACCATATCGCCATTTGTATCGACCACTTTCGCCTAGAATTTGACAAACGGTCATAGTAGGTATTTAATATTTTTCACATAATATCACCGATCGATCGATCGACTATATAGTCTATAGTTGTATCACACTAAAGTTATTTATTATAATTCAATAATTGTGTAAGTTCCTAGTATAGCACTTGTACCTATTATACCATCAGGATGTGTGTGTGTGTGTGTGTGTGTGTGTGTGTGTGTGTGTGTGTGTGTGTGTGTGTGTGTGTGTGTGGAGAGACCGCAGGTAACTAAAATGAAATGCCTAACGCTTTCCCAAAAAGGTTTATTAATTATTAATTTTGCCCCTCCCTATTATAACACGTTTGTATCATATAATATAATGTATGAATATTGTTGGAAATCATACTGACCTCCACGTGATCTTGTATGAAACCCATCGTCGTCTTTACTCGTTCATCTGAATCGTCTGTAAAATTTTGAAAAGAACAGGGACTGGTTTCCGTCATTCCGAACAAAGACTAAAATGATTGAAGATTTCTAAAATTATACATAGTCAAACGAACAAGTTATATTAAAAATTAATAATAATATTAGTTATATCGTTTCAATTGTCGAGACTAAATTTCCACGACATATTCTGAATCAAAAAAATGTTATAATATTATAATCAATTTTAAAATACCAATATTTTCGCGCGTGGAAACATGTTATTGAACTTGGTCATCAATGCCGGAGAACACGTAGCACCACCGGAAAATCCTAACTCCAAATCGTTGTCTTGTAGAGTTGGTGAAAGGTTTTCAAAAACGGACATAATATCAACGAATATTGTCGGTGTTCCAAATAAAATTGTACATCTATAATAATAACTCAGTTATTCGTATTAATAGTTAGGTTGGCTATTATTATATAATTAAGAATGTACACTGTTATCCATATACTCTCGTATATATAAAAATGAATTAACTGTCTGTCTGTCCTTTATGCATTCCTAAACGGCAGGACCGATTGCGATGAAATTTGATACCTACAGAAATGGATTAGACCTCTGGGTAGAAGATAGGCTAATTTAAAAAGGGTAAATTAGAGATCAGCTCAAACAGGGATTCTAAGATTTACGATGAAGATTTTTGTTTGTAAAGTAAATGGTTACCTACTATTGGCTTAAAAATATTTATTATTAATTAAGTGATGAGCATGTTGACTCAGTGATACTTCCATGTATTTTAGAACAAAATGTCTCATGTTCGAACCACGGTTTAGGTGGATTTTTTCCGGCCAACGCCGGCTAATTATATATGTTATAAAAATATCTTAAATAATACTAAGTAACTAAGACAAATTCATTAAAAAAATTAAATCTTAAAATAAATTTTTTTAAAACAAAAATCAAATAAACTCATTTTCTAACTTTTCTTTGGTAAGAACATCGACCGCGGTTTTCGGTTCAAAATGAGCTGATGGTAAGACAACAGTTGATTTGGTAATCATAGGTCCAAGAACGCCGATGGATAAACCCGCAACATGGAATAAAGGCATTGGATTGCAGAACTTATGCAATTTTCCCTAAACGTATATAATAATTAATATTCATAGCACTAAATAGGTAGGTACTAGGTAGGTTATAATGTAATATCATAATCAAATAAATTTCAAAATATTTCTAATAACTATACTTTACTGATGCTATCGTAGATCCCCAAACGCTTCATGATAGAGTAAGCGTTGTTCATTAGACCAAAGTGGTTCAATAATGCTGCTTTTGGTTTTCCAGTGGTACCCTAAAAGTAATTTAAATTGATGAATTGAAAAATATAATTTCATAGATTTTAAAACATTAAAACTATAAGAGCTATGTACAATGTGCACCACTTCAGCCAGGAAAAGCATACTTCAGATCTAACCTAGAAAGTTTATCTTTACAGTATTGTAAAATAAATTTATATTTATACTAATCACGTTCGTTAACGTCAAATTTGAAATTTATGAAAAAAATCAATGTACCTAATTCAAATGTAATTTAAAAGGCTGCAGATTATTATATCTATATAATATATAATAAAACTTGTTTGTTAAATTTAGTACCTACATTTATTATCATAAGAAACATACTCTCAGAATATCATAATTCATAACAGACTGCACAGTTTTACTTTATTAAAAGTATACCATTTTGATTTATATAGGTAGTAACTTCAATATAATATAATAATAATAATAATTTTATATACTATAGCCTATAGTCCTTGTTAAATGTATTAACATAACTTAATGTGATAAATGAAATTTTATATAATATTATAAATTATAATAATATAATATGCGTACCTACACGTTTTTTATGAATAGTGTCTGATTTTAGTATATAAAAATGCGGTGGTAAGTAAAAAAAACACCGATCGCATAAGTAAAACGTTATATTAATTGATTATTTGTATAAAATAGCAATGTATCACACTATTAAAATATCATAGATTCATAGAATAATATAATATAAGTCTAAGCGATTCACTGTCTTACTTACTGAAGTAAACTGAATAATACAACCTTCGTCTGGTTGGACATTAGGAATACTATAATTTGAATTGAAACCCAGGTCAAAGAAAGTTTGTAAATTATAGGCACCACTGTAATAAATATCATGATATAAAATGTAAAACTATATTATAATGCTAATTTCTGTTAGTTATATCTAAACACTAACTTTATATGGTTTTCTGAATCAAAAATAACGGATTCCAGCGTGGGCATCACTTTCGACTTGATCGGCGTATTAGAGGGTCGCTTCCAAATATCCGAATCGACTTTCTCCAATATTTCGGGATAATTTTGGGTCTTGAACTTCTCTAAGGTCAACAAACACTTTACCTCAGCCAGTGTTAAAGTGTGTTTCAGTTCGTCACTCTGATATGCAGGATTGATGTTTACCTGAAATGATATAATATACGTAGGTATATACTATTTAGACGTTGTCCATAAGTAATATAATATCTTATTACACCTCTACCGACTGTAATAATTTATTTATTACACTGTTATGAATGTAATGATATAACCACAGTTTGCAACAGTTAAGAATAACTTTGTATATAATACATTGTCGATAAGGATCTGATGACTAGTGTTTATATAATATTATATAGGTAATACGTATACCTACATTATTTTAAATTATATTTTTATATTTTAATTTCAAAATCAGCAAAACAGTATTAAATCTACCTTTTACTCACAATAAAATCCTTTCAACCTGTAAAAACTACAGGAACTTAACATTACCAACAAATAAACTAAATAAAAATAAATTTTTTAAAAACAGTATAAAAAGATATTCAGACAGTCACCATATAAATTAAGTTATGGTCAATAATATTTCCATCACCTATACCGAGCACAGATTGGTCATACATTATCAATTTATGACACACCCTTTTTTAATCAGTAAAGATCCACCAGCCTGTTCACGTTAGGTATATGCAATATACTAAACTTACAAACACATTTCACAGATGCCATAGAAAAAAATCAAAAATTTACTATAGAATGAAGAACTATTAACAGGAAAAAATTTCAACATTTTTTGCTTACATTTCAGATGCACTCAGAACACACTTGAATTTCTGTTCCCTCAAGGCCCAAAGTGAAGGACAGGAAAGAAAGTGTAAGCTTCATTCTTTATTTTTGATAAATAATTAATAATAAAAAAAAATGTAACAAATTAATACCAAAATCAGTCCCAGGCGAGCTGCCGCGATAATCGCTGTATAGTATAACACGCAATTGGGCATCCATATTCCGACCCGGTCCCCGCGTTTGAGGTCAACGGCATTAAAGCTCCTGCACAGCTTATCCACCTGTGATAAGAATATGAATCAATTAACATGCACGTTTGCAGTACATTATATGAGTACATATTAGTTGTCTGCATGTCATGCCTAACTGTGTACGCAACGGGTGTAGGTATTATGCTAATAATATGATATAGGAGTATAGGACAAAATATCAAAACTATCGATGAAACCGATAGTAATATTATTGTGTTATTTAGTTTTCGCTGACCTCGGAATCCATGGCGGCGAAAGTGTATCGTTTGTTCTCATGTTGACTGACCAAGAACTCTCGGTCCGGAGTCTGTTGCACGACGTCATTGAAAACTCCTCCGACCGTATAAGCTCTGAGCGGATCATTCGTGGCCCCACACACGTAGCTGTGCTTCGACCAGTGATTATTTCTCGATAATATATGATGACTGGAGAAAAACCCAAACGATGAATGATTATATAGTACAATATTATTACAAGCGACAATAATATTATAATATTATGTGTTTAATACTTTAATTTACTAAAAATTCCATGTTGCATGACTAAACATTTAACGAATAAATACCTTAAACATGATTTAGTGGACATATGAATTTTTTTTAATATTTAATGGTTCATTAAATTAATATATTTTTCATGCAAAGCCCGACATAAGCGGCAATGTTTATAATATAACACTTGTGTCTTTTATAATATTAGAAGAAAAGGTCAGACTTTTTTCTGTAATCTATATATATATAAAAAAAAAACCGGCCAAGTGCGAGTCCGACTAGCGCACGAAGGGTTCCGTACCATCATCAGCTATGTTGGCAACACTCTTTATATTATATATTCTAGGATTTTTAGTATTGAGGAGAACTGAGAAGTAATGCTAACGCGGTTCCTCTTCCGTTCCCCGGTTAACTCGAAAAAAAAGGATTTTTAGTATTTGCTGTTATAGCATCCACGGAAATACATAATCTGTGAAAATTTCAACTTTCATGATTCATGAGATACAGCCTGGTGACAGACGGACGGACAGTGGAGCCTTAGTAATAGGCTTCCGTTTTACCGTACGGAACCCTAAAAATTGTGTCAAATATGTATAGTAATTCATCAATTGTGAACGGCTGGGCTGATATGGCAGATTTTTTTTTTATTGTGTTCGTAATTATCAGGACAAGATTTTTATGAAAGAAAGTTTTAGGAAAATCCACCAGAAAAGTAGAAAATCTGGATATCAAAAATTCAATTGTGGCGCCATCAATCCAGAAAAAATAAACTAAATAATAAAAAATGTAGTTTATTGTTGCAGATTAAAATTAAAAGTGTATTAGTGTATATATTGGTTGCTATTATTCCAGGGGCGTCATTTGTGGGGGGGGCAGACTATGGCAAATACCCCACTGTAAGAAATTTTAAGAAGTCGGCAAATTCTTTGTCCGATGATCAAATGCTAAAATCGGTAAATACTAAATTTGTATTTACTATTTTGTACTCAGAAATCAGATAATATTCTCTTTTAAATACACATTCACGGTTTATTAAAATGTTGGGAAACACTGGCTCCTCCTCGGCTTATATTATAAATCTTAGGATATCTTCGATTCTTAAGATTAGCAAACATATTCTTAACTTCTTCTAAGTTAACATGACTTGCATACTCTCCTTCAACATTTATTACCATTAAAATCACTCAATCTTTCATCCCCAGTTGTACTTCTTAAGAATGATTTAACGCGTTTTAAAATTATAAATTGTTTATAAATCTTAAAATACTCATAACTCACGTTAAAACTAAAGTATAATAAAAAGCCCACGAAGTTGCCTAGATAATAATATTACCTTTAGATTTTATAAGAGGTCAATTCGCTCTAATTTTTAAACTAACGGAGGTAACACGTGTTCTGCTGAGCGTAAAATTTGCTGTTACGCACTTGTGAGACGGAGACAACACATGAGGGTATCACGTCCTCTTAAATATACAAATAATAAAATGATAAGTATTTATTTAATTGGATTTATATTACTATTCTATTAAACCTATTGATAGGTAACTTATAAGATAAGTAAATTAATTAATGTTTTACTATCTTTAAGGGGGCTGCACCGTAGCATATTTTAAGGAGTACTATTTAGGCAATTCATGTGACATATAAATTAATACTGTATCTATGTGTGAGTAGTAAATGAACATTAGTGTGCGTAATCCGTTATCGCGTTGATCGCGCGAATTCTGCTTATTCGGCGGGCGCATGAGCGGGTGTCTTTCCAGTTAGCAGTCTTTGTTATCTTTCATATACGAGTATTCATAACAAAATAATATTGTAAATAATAATAATATTATGTTGTTTGAGGTTTGTCTGTGTCTAACTGTTTTTTAAAAAATGTATTACTAAATTATTTTTTGCAATGAAGACTGCTACAGTAGTACAGTACTGTATGGAATTAAATGCATTGTAACCTTATGTAATAATAAGATGTCAGAAAATCGGCGTAATAGTTATTTCTATTTTCCTAAAGATCCAATCAGGTAAAAAATTCAATATAAATATATCAATATATAATATTTAATCTTATATAAAAATTATTATAGATGTTCAATGTTTCCTCAGTGATCTAAAGAATAGGCTCAAACCTCATGCTGGCCGACATTATTTACTGGTACAACATATTATTTAACTAGGCAAATGATATAATTATATAATATAATAATTATAATTATATTATATAAAATAATATATTTGAAAACAATTAACAAAATTGGCAATTATTTAAAATAATAATAATATAAAAATGTATTAACTTTATTAACTTTATTTATTTACACACTTGATACAGAATTACTCATTATACATATCTGTTGAATTTATGAACAATTATTCTTTTCTTGTCAATTAATTTTGGGTTTAAAATTTCCGGAAGCATATGATTATAATAAAATACAGAGAGAAAAGATTCCATTTTATTTTTAAAAAATGAATCATCTTTTTTTATTTTTTGGAATAGCAAACCTGTAAAATTAACAATCAATTATGATGATTATAATTATAATTGATTTTAAAAAATTCACATAATATCTAACCTTTTGGAGACCAAATTACAAAATATCCATACAGCTTTTGTGCTATATGCAGCTGGCCTTGAACCTGATAAAAATAATTATGGTTTTCTTTGAGAAATAATTCTCCATTTTTCAAACATGCCCATTTTATGGTTCCATTTTCAATAGCTTCGGTGGGCGTCATCTGAGATATCGATGACGGGCACGTAATTTCAACTAAGGCATCAGTATCAATGAGTCCATCTGGACTCGCCGCTAAAAATTGAAATTCTGGATCTATAAAAAGCCCAGCTGGGTGAATTTTTATTTTCATAATATTTTCAAACTCGGAAATAGCAAACGGTTCGTGTTGAATACCATATTTAGTTGACTCATTACCTAAAAAAAAATTGTTAGATAAATGTAATTAAAAATTGTATTGGTTGATAATGTATACAAAACATTACCTTCAAATTTAGTGTACAACAAAGATACTAAAATATTGTTTCTACTGGTATTAGGACGTAGTTTACATATTTTCCCAAAGTTTGATGCCGTTAGACGTATTTGCCTCTCTTTTAACCACTCTTGACATTGAAATTGACCTGTTGTAGCTTTTGCTATCTGCAAAATTTGGTCTTTAGTTTTTTTCAATTTTTCAAGAAATTCAATTTTTTTATTTTCAAATTCTTGAGGATCCAAGTTCAATTGATCACACTTTAGTTCTGTATCAATATCACCATAATCTTTATCAGGACCACTAAATTTAGTAACTTTACTTCTACTTTTAAAAAGTCGTTTAACAGTGGCTTTGCGTCTAAGACTAATTGTTCTTAATTTTTTATCTATAAATGATTTGGTGAATTTTCCGGGGCTGTAGTTCGTAATTTTTTTGTGTAAATTGCGTATTAATAAGGGTCCTGCATTTTGTGAAATAACCGCCGCACTACAACGGGTTTGATAGGAACCTTTCAGTGAAAAATTTATACGTTTCCCACCGACAAATTTGGCGACTAAACTATTGTACCCTTCAACACAATTATTATTTACACCGTAAATTAAAGACGAAGAATGATGAGCCAATAAATGCAACGCTGACATAATATCACTGAACAAACCACATAATTGCATATCAGGTACATAATTGATTTCATTGTTTTTTTTTTTGCAAAAATATTTATTACAGTTTGTATGTAAGCCAAAAACATGATATGGACCATTCATTATATCCTTTTTGAGAAAATTTACTTTCTCATTATGAGTATAATTTTGTTCCATACGATACTGGATGGCCATGGTCACACCACTCCTTAATTTTCTCAATCGGTCCTTTAAAATTTGTCTAAGACTTCCAGGTACAATATGGCCTTCACTACTCTTACGTTTCGTAGTCATTTCTCGTAAACGATTTATATAATTTCTCATTATATGGTTTGTACATTCAATTTTAACAACTTTAAAGTTTGGGCCATATGGTTTTGCTATATGCAGTTTTTTGGTGACGCTACTATCACCGTCACCGATTAATTTAGCATAAATTAAATTATGCATTGTGATACTTTCTTTAAAGCCTTCCACAATAATATCCGACTCCATGGATGTAGATGTACCTGACCAATTTTTATAACAAGTATGAGAACGAATTGGTTTCCCAGATTTTAATGCAATTTCACAAATTACACAGTATTTATTGATATTTATAGAAAAAAAAACTAAAAAAATTGAAAACTGACAATGTCCGTAAACAGCTCAAAAAAAGTCAAATTATTTTCAAAATTTTATCGTGTATAGAAAAAACATATATAAACATACAGTGAAATTTTCAAGTATCTACAGTCATTCGTTTTTTAATTACAGCAAAAGAAGAAAATCGTTACATAAGAAATCGAGTGAATATCAAATGTTGTAAAAATATGAATTTCAAACGCTCATAAAAATTTAATTTGACTTTCTAGTAGACATTTTTTTTTTTGACAAAGGTAGACAATCTTATGAGGAATCTTGTATAACATTTTCAAACCTTAGATTTCAAAAGAAAAATTTTTACGAATTTTCAATTCAAAATAATTTGCTAATTTTCGTGATTTTTCCGTATTTTGTCAAGATTTGAACTTTAAATGCTTATAAATAAAAACTGTGACTAACGATTTTTAATTTTTTTCATATGCCTTTGAAACAATATACAAGTAGCCTTCTATTAAATTTTCAAGCTTTTTTAACCAACAAATAATTTATTGATATTTATAGAAAAAAAAACTAAAAAAATTGAAAACTGACAATGTCTGTAAACCGTTCAAAAAAAGTCAAATTATTTTCAAAATTTTATCGTGTATAGAAAATGCAAATATAAACAACCAGTGAAAATTTCATGCATCTATGGTCATTTGCTTTAGAGTTACACCAAAAACCAAAATCAATTTTGTTAAAAATCGATTTTGCGTAAAAATTCCCGTTTTTCCTTAATTTTTCTTTTGTTTTTCACGTCGCTTTTGAAAACTACTTGGAAATGTTTACTTTTGACCCCCCAAAGTACCAACTAGATTCACTTTCCTATCAGAAAAGGTACTATTTAAGAAAATCCAAGCACTTTTACTGTCCTAAAACGTGATGACAGACACAAAAATAAAAAAAAAAAATAAAAAAATAAAAAAACACACATCATTGTAAAACCAATACATTCATCGCTCCGCTCAGAATCTAAAATATAATTTTCTTATAAAAACGTTGTTTTATAAGCGACTAGAAAGTATATAAAAAAATATTTCAAAAACATTTACACTTTTTGAAATATTGAGTGTTGTTTGATAAAAGAACCATACGGTATTATGTTCACATAAATCATAAATAAATTACTTAGTCAATTTGTTTTTAAAATTATTTTCTTTTGGAGTAGATGTAGAAGGCATGCATTCATACATTTCATCAGTCATAACAAATTCTTCATTAGCCCTAAATAAAATAACAATATACTTATTTTTGATAATACTCACATTTGTATATGAATTTTTATTATGTAATTTATATTTTTTTCTTGCATTTTTGGTAATTGTTCATGTTGTAGCTTTTATTCAAAATTACTTGCCTAGTTTCAGTAGTAAGTTCTATATTCTTCATAATATCATCTATCAAAACATTTTCGGACACTAGTTGTGTTTTTTCCTGTTACAATTAAAATAAAAGAATAATGAATAAGTAGTGACTCAATTTTTTAGAATATTTATATTATTGTAATTTTTATATGTGTTAGTATAATTACCTGATCATCGCAGCTTTGATCTATATCACTTTTTTTCAGTTTTGATTGTAAATTGTTCAATCGATGTTTTTTTAACCTAGGTGCACTTAACTTACACCTAGCTTTTCGCCCAAAACGCCAGTCTTTACCCATTTTTTAAATGAACGAAAAAAAATCACAAACCACCGGAAACTTACAGACAACTTAACTGATCAGAGTGTAGTGTTCAAATATAATGATTCATACTATTCATAATTCATAGGTAGTATATTATATAATATTGGTTTTATTTAATTTTGGAAAAATATTATTATTATTATTGATTATTATCGTTGCCTATTAATTATTCTTGTATACCTATCCAGTAATTCTTATCTGCTAATTGTTTCCGAGAATCGCTGTCACGTCGAGTCGGGCAACCGCGCCGGAAATAACTCTCACACGCGCACGCACATGTCAATACAGCTCGAAAAATTAAATATATTCATGTTTGCAATTCTATAAAAACTACTAAAAGCGGTAGTAAATTAAACATACTTCCTGAAGTCCGATTGTAATTTTGAAAAAATGGTTGAATTTATAAACTTCTAGACCATGTTTCTTAGGAATCAATTTTTTTATTTAAAATCAGATGTGCCCAAAATAAATACAAATGTAATGCAATTATTTCATGGGATTTCTAAAAAAAAAATGGTTATTTTAAGGTCATTTTAAATTAAAAATTGAAAATCGACTTCCTAAGAAACCTAGATATTTTATCAATGAATTCAAACATGTATAAAAAATTTAAATCGGACATTCCGAAGTATGTGTAATTTACCACCGCTTATTGGTCTAAAACGTATGAAAAATACGTGAGCTGCAGCCCCCTTAATGCTATTATTTAATTGGGTAAATTGAAACGTTTCATGTTCTTTGTTTATCATCATAATGATTCATATTACTAATAATAACTATTACATATTTTGTTCCGAAAAGATATTTTGTTGATGGTCTATCGTCCATAAATATTAAATATAAAGGTAACCATAAATTTTCAGATATTATAAAGTAGGTAAATTTAATCAGCTGCCCCACCCTCTCAAAATCTGAAATGACGCCCCTGTATTATTCGGTCATGGTCATTGATTTGTATATTATTATATTTTGTCAATATATAATATATATAAAAATTAATGTTTGTGTGTAGATTAGACCTCTGGGAAGAAGATGGGCTAATTTAAAATAAATTTGATTTTTTAAAACCTTAGGCATATCACCAAATCTCATATCCCTCACGTCTCCAAATTAGCAGTAGTACACTACAGGCACCTGCACTCAGTGTTGGGTAAATTACTTTTAAAAAGTAATGAAATTACGTTACTCGTTACTTCAAAT